TGTTAAAGGAAAAAAAAAAACCTTGAGTGTAAATAACGGTATTTATTTAGTTTTGAGGATTACTACATGAAACATTCTTAGGATTAAGACATGGAAAAAAGTCTCAAGGCTCAAAAGCGTGCCTTTGTATTGGAATTGTTCGGAAGACATATTAAAAATAGTTTTTTGGCCTCTTCAAGGAAATGGGAGTTTATTTTAAGAGAGTGAGGGTTTATTTAATGTATAATGCACCTCCTAAAAGGTTTACTTTCTGCCCCGTAATATGTTATTTCAAATCTTCGCAACCACATTTCCCCACGAGGATAGAGGATACTGCCCTTTTTTCAAACACACGCTAGTACCAAATGTCTTGCAGATGTGCTGCGAAGAAAAGAAAAGAGGGAAGCCAGAGAGTTTACGAAGGGTGGCAACATTGTGCTGAGGTCAATTTCTCAAAAGATCAGCTCCTGTCTGATTGTAATAATAACGTACAGATGACTTTAATGTGGTGGGAGTCAAGCACCGCTGCAGTGTTCCACACAGATTGCGCCAGATCTCAATAAAAGTGAAACCTGCCAGAGTTGTGTATCTCATCAAAACAAGTGTTTCATTATCAGATATAGTTTCTGTACTTTTTTACAAATATAATTCATGGTATTTGCATCTTAATCATTTTTCATTCTCAACACGAGACCCCTTAGAGAAATAAAAAAATTGCTTGGTTTCTTTTTTTCCTCTAACAAAATTATATCGCTGAGCACAGAGAAGTCATATTCACTTTATTACGACTTTGACAATACAATCGTGCGCTTGCGAAATATTTTTTTTCTTTTCCCATGGAACACTAGGGACCGAGCCAACCCAGAATCGTGCCTGTTTATGAACATACTCATTGCCCTCATAGTTCCATTTCTTAAAGGCAGAGAGAGACAGAACGAAAGAGAGAAAAACACACAGCACCTCATTACATCCCAGTGTCGGCGCCCCCACCTCTCTCTCCTTTTCCCCCGCGATTTCTCCTCGTTCCCCCACCACCCTTGTGCTCTGTGGCAGAGGAAGAGAGGCATGGTTCATGCCTCGTCCAACAGATGGACGGCAGCTTCTCCTCCTTTTCCTCAAGAGAGACCTGCTCACATCTCTCTCATTCTCCTTTGGTTTTCTCTTTTCGCTTGGATTTGCTCTTTGTACTCTTGCTTTGAGCCCAATATATCAAATGAGAAAGGTTGTGGGTTAACTTGTCTTATCTTTACCTCTCTGTCCTGTAGCATCCCTCTGTGACCCTTCAGCCCTTTGGTGGTGACCCCTCTTCCAGGCTTTCTTCTGTCTGTCAGACTAAGCCAAGTCTGTCCTGAGGTTCACTTTGGGGAGAGGGATCTTTCTGGCCCTCGTCTCTCTCTCTCGCTCTCGTTCTCACCCTCCCCACATGCTTTGGCTATGGATTAGTGAATTGGCTTATCATGGCAGAGAAAGCCTGTTAGTAGTCCCTCTCCGCCTTACTCTTTCTCTCTCTCTGGCATAATTTCACATACTAAACACTAAAACCCTCTCACACACATATATTTGATCTCAAACGCACACATAGTCTCTGTTCCCTTGATTTCGGCAGGGGTCAGTCACACTTGTGCATGAAAAACAGACATATTCAGCCATAAATTGTATATGAGTGCTTGTGTGGCGGCGACGGGACCGTTTTTATGTCTAAAGCACCTCTGGCTGCTGATCAACCACAGCTTGTCTGCTGTAGTTCGGCTTTACTGGTGTAAATTGGATTGTGCTCATCTGTGGTAATCTGAAAGCAGATGAGTGTGAGCATGTGTACATGTGAAGGAGGGGATGATGGAATGAGAGAGATGGGGTGGCCAGGGTGTACAGGTTGAAGGGAGAGTGAGAGGCTGTGCTGAGGATGAATCAGGTTGCCCGAGTACTTACGGGTGGGGGAAGGATACCTGGTGCCTCAAATCATCCCATATACTGTATAGTACCACCAAAAAAAATATTTGAACGCTTAAGTCACACGTAAAATGAATGGATATCTTTATATGCTTTAGATTCAATAGATAGATAGATAGGTTTAATTGTCTATATTTAAGTATTAAATATTTAATACTTAAATAGTATTCAAGTACAAATAACATGTTTTTATTCAATAAAATATCTATCTATCAATCTACAGCGGGTAAAATAAGTATTGAACACGTAACCAACAAAACAGTTTTCTCAGTAAATATATTTCAAAAGGTGCTGTTGACATGAAATTTTCACCAGATGTCGGTAATAACCCAAGTAATCCATACATACAAATAAACAAAACAAATAATTTCAGAAATTAAGTTATGTGTCATAAAATGGAATGACACAGAGAAAAAGTATTGAACTACTGAAATTTATTTAATACCTTGTACAAAAGCCTTTGTTGGTAATGACAGCTTCAAGACACCTCCTGTATGGAGGAACTAGTCGCATGCATTGCTCAGGTGTGATTTTGACCCATTCTTCCACAGAGTCTTCAACTCTCGAAAGTTCTGTGGGCCTCTTCTATGAACTCTGATCTTTAGTTCTTATTTTCTGTTGGATTCAAGTCAGCTGATTGGCTGGGCCATTCTAGCAGCTTTATTTTCTTTTTCTGAAACCAACTGAGAGTTTCCTTGGCTGTGCTTGGGATCATTGTCTTGCTGAAATGTCCACTCGTTTCATCTTCATCCTGGTACTATAGGTGTTGGGACTGAACCAGCTAATATTAATTTCCACTGATTAGTGGCAGGATTGCTTTCTAATTACTGATAGATTTCAGCTGGTGTCTTGGCTTTCCAAGCCTTTTTGCACCTACCTTTCTTCATGTGTTCAATACTTTTTCCCTGTGCCATTCCATTTTATTACACATAACTTAATTTCTGAACTTATTTGTTTTGTTTTCTTTGTATGTATGGATTACTTGGGTTGTTACCGACATCTGGTGAAAATTTCATGTCAACAGCACCTTTAGAAATATATTTACTGAGAAAAATGGTGACGTGTTCAATACTTATTTTACCCGCTGTATCTATCTATCTACATGTCCACAAGTAATGTGAGGTCATTGAATGAATAATTAAATAAATAAATATTTTAAAATGTTAAAGCAGGTTTTCTTTACATTTCTACAGGTTTAATAATTTGTTATCTAATGCGATAACATTAATACTTTCATTCATTTCAGTTTTTGGTGCCACTGTAAACATGAGTCAGTGTCCAGATGAAGCCCATTAAAAGGCTTTTAAAATTACGTAAAGTCCACATTGAGACTCTGGCATGGTTGAATCAGGGATTACAGACCTGTCATTATCAATGAGGAAGCTGCTCTTTGAGTCGCAGCCATAGACCCTGTTTTGATTGAGTTAACTACTTAATCAGCTTTCAAATGTGAGCAGAGAAACCGCACTCTGTGACGCCAAGTCTGCTGGCTACACGATGAGTAAATATTTACACGGGTGTCCAGTCATTATCACCAGCTTTTAGTTGAGTTGTTTTGCTCCTTGTTTTATGTCTTTTACAGTGGTCCTCTAAACAATCATCAAGTCACTTCGGATTTCGCCACTTACACATTAAGACGTCCTCGCTAATGGTCCAGCTAACAGCTCTGGATGAAGTACAGAGCGCTGTTGTTTGTATGCTAATAGAGTGTAACTTATTCACAGCTATTATTAGAGACAATGGAAAATAAATTATATCCATATCAGCACAAGGTTGTATTTGTAGCGGCGAAACTATGTATTTAACAACTCTATTTCAACGACACTGAGGGAATCCAACAATTCAGTGCGTAATTTGGTAAATTAGCCACACTGTATGAAATGAAGATGGATCTGAGCCAATGAAATTAGAGTTTGCTTGCGGTTTAACTCAAATGACATGAAAAAGTCTCTGGAAAGCTTTAAAACCCCTACTCCACCCATAAGCACTTGATTATTAATAAATGAGAGCAGCATGGCAGTGCGGATAGACGTGAGAAGCGCAGCGTATCCTTTAGGTGTATCTACATCAATGTTCCTCGCTCACTCTGGCAGGTGAAATCTGGTTCAGAAAGAAGAAAAAGAGCTGGAGAATAAAGAGAAAGCAATGGAGGGCTTTTAACGTGACACCACTGACAGCTTTACTGCATTACAGCGAGCTTAAATAATGGGACGCTCATTTGCATAACGAGGGACGTTATCACCTCTACTGTCAGAATAAAACACAACAACACTTCTGCCGCTCCTCCCAGAGATGAATCGGGTTGGCCTACTTTACGGCACCAAAGAGGTGCGCACATGCACACAAACACCGGCGCACACACGTGTGTTCTGTGATCGCGCTGTGTGGATCTGAGCTGTGAGCACTTTATGGAAAGCCTGGGTTAGCTTCTCGGGTGAGGGCAGCCTTTCAAAAGCAGAAAGAGCTCAGCAGGAGGGCCCGATAAAGGCCCCGCACACCTTTTTCCCTGAGAGACAGAGAGCTGCGACGTGACAACGGGATCAAATTCTAGAGCGGGTTAAATTAGGATGGCCCACGTTTCCATTCAGGTTCTTCTTCAGCTCTTATGGATGGTAAAGCCTCATCTCATCATCAGTCACAGTTTTGTTGCATTCACATAAATGTTCAGCTAAAAGGGCAATTCCAATGTGTTCGTTCGGCATGCTCGTGACAATTCTGTGCAATGTTACACCAGTGTTGTTTATGAAAGTGGCGCTGCTTGTCGTTCGGGCGACAGTAAACGTTACACTGCAAATGATTAGAGCTGTTAAGTTAGTGGCACTTCCAAAACACTGTCAAATTCTCTGTGACTGTAGAGAGAGCATGACAGTGCTGTCTACCCTCATAGTCGAGAGAATCTGATTTGCATGATATTGATGGCAGAAAACAGCGCTGCCTCGGATAGTCGGCAGATTCTTTTGTCTTTATTTGCTGTCCCATGTGGCTCAGACTCTGCCTTTCCCTGTTTTTTAACGCTACGGTTTTGCCATTTTTCATCTGACTTGATGCCTTTCTCTCTCTGCCTTTTGCAGGTACAGCTACTGGAATCTTTGAATTGAGTGGAGGAAGTCGAGAGAAGAAAGCCTGGTTTGAAGAAAAAGCAAGCAAAAACAGAGGGACGAAAGAATAAGTTCATTAGAGAAAGAGAGAAACGAAAAGACGGGGACAATGGGGAGGAAAAAGATTCAGATCACACGGATTATGGATGAACGCAACAGACAGGTGAGTCACACTGACCAGAAGGAGCCAAAAACCACCTCTAGACAACTTCCTTCACTGAAGTTTGATGGGTTATTTCAAACGAAAATAGACCAAGTAGGTGGTGTGTGCACGCTAATTGTTGGCGTCCTCGCATGCCGCCACCTCTAGCTTATGGCTGTGGAATATTACTTTAGCAGGATCAGGGTGGGTGGAGAACACAAACACGCAGAGATGGCAATGGTGGAATGATGCCACATGCTTCAGGGCTTTAGGTGGAGTCAACACAGAGGTAGAAGATGGCCCTCGAGGGGCCTTCCTGCCTTAGCTAGTAGTTTTCCTCTTCAACTTGGCTCTCAGATCGCTGAGATCCTGTTCATCACTTCATAATAAAATAAATTGTCTTCAATGAGAGAATCTTTTTATTATTCATCCCTGCTGAAAAATACCAGGTTTTAGCTGTTTTAATCTGGTCTTGCAGGTCTCCCAATCTTCCTAAGCTTCCTAACCAGCAGCCAATTGCCCAAAACCTCAGCTTTGACTAGTTTAGACACTAAGATAAAAATTTAAAAAATCTGTTAATGCATTCACATTTGAACTATTAGAAAAACATCTGTATCTCCATTTCTCTGGCCGTGAAACAGAATCAAGTCAAGAACACACAAAAACAGGCAGATATTATGCATAGCAGATACTGTAGTTGTATTGATCGTATTGGTGCCAGTTACATAGACTCTTGTTTTACTGCAAGATCAATAAATGTTCTTTAGGTTTGGCATTTACATTTGTCCTCTTATGGAAAAAAAGTAGAAAACCTGGAAAGCAGTTTGACAGAAAGTAACCTAGACTAGTTTGAGGTTTTTCTCTGTCTTCTGTATCGTCACATGACTCTCTGAACAGTCAACCAGAGTCCTCACATCCTTTCACAGGATGACACTTTGTCACAGAAACAGACATTCGTAGTTCCTCAGTCTGGTCTGGAGAAAAAAAAAAAGATGTGATTTTGGGAAAAGGACTTGGCTAACAGTTGATATGACTGAGTGAGACCATACTGCTGCAGTTAATGGCTGCTGTCTGGACCTTGGGTGGGTTGATCAATTATTGAAGATAGTGTGAGGGCCCGAGGAGAAAGAGAGAAAAAAGCGGGTGAGGAAAGTAATGGGCGTGTCAGCCGGAGCAGACGGAGGGGGCACAGTGACATTAGTCATTCAGTACTTGTGGGTTGAGTAAGTTCTCCCCCTTGAGGAAACCAGAGGCTCACATGCATGTGGGCACTCATGCCAAATGCTGAAAGAATGAGTCAAGGTACTTCTCAAATCAGAAACTTCTCTGTTCTCTGTTTCTATTTATTTTGAAAAACCAACAAGTTTTGAGGTTAACGAGGCATCATATTGAATTTGCTTCTGAGTTTAAAATAACATAAACATTTAACATAAACGTTTGTGTATATGAAAAATAAAAGTTATATTGGTGAGTTTACGTTTGTTTAAAGGAATAATTCATCTAGAAAGTCAAGTCAATTCAAGTCACCTTTATTTATACAGCGCTTTTAACAATACAGATTGTGTCAAAGCAACTGAACAGCATTAATTAGGAAAATAGTGTGCCAATAATGCAAAATGACAATAGTAAACACAAATTTTTCAGTTAAAGACAGTTCATCATTGAATTCAGTGATGTCAACATCCAGCTCAGTTTAAATAGTATCTTTGCAATCAAGTCAACGGTATCGCTGGAAATGAAGTGTCCCCAACTAAGCAAGCCAGAGGCGAAAGGACATTTTTGTCATTATTTACTGAATTCAACTTAATTTTTTTTTATACTGAGCACACATTTTTCAAGAGACTTTATGCAGCTCTTTCCGTACAATGACAATTCATATATGTCAAGCTCTAAAAAGAACAAAAAGCATAAAATGTAACATAAAAGTAGTCCATCTGAGAACATGTGATATTTGATCTCATTAATGTTTAAAATATATTTGATTTGAGAGTCTTGGCTGAGGGAAAGGAAATAATATAAGATAATGGCTTATATTTTAGTCTTTTCCCCGAACAAATCTTTGGTTGTTTTAATAATTTTATTTTATTTTGTTTTATTTATTTTTTTAGGGGAGAGATTGGCACAATAAGTGACTATTAACTGCCATTATATATATTTTTGTCTTATCCACAGATAATATCATGAGTCTATAATGACAGAATTTTCCTTTTCTACACAACCTTTTTTGCACTATTTTCTACTTTCAATGCTCAGAGACACAGAGTTTCTAATCATAAGCAAAGATAAAAAGGAAAGGAGGAGGGAGGCTGAGGTCAGGATGTTTTTGGCGAGGCTATCGGATTGCACAGAGAGCATCCTGTCTTGGTGTTATCGCTGTTCTCCTCTCCTTCTCTCTCTCTTTTCTCTTACTCCCCCTTAACCAGACTTCAAGATCAGAGATTGATACAGGAAGGACACCTGATGAGAGTCAATGCCACAGATTTCCAGGTCTTGGGATAGAAAAGAAGAAAGGGAGGGCCAAGAAACAAACAATGACATTTAATTCCTTTTGACCAGTTTCCTTAAATATGGTTGAAATGAAGCGTTTCATACTACTTAATTACTTAAGATGCATCACGCTATGTGGGATTGACCTCTTGGCTCAAGTAAATTTACAATCTGCATGATTGCAGTGTTGCAGGACAGTGGAGTAGATAAAATATGTTAACATTTTAAATTCTTCTAATTATTTATCATGTATTACGTAATAAATACAAAAGCCCTTGAACATTTCGGTTTTTGCCAAAATTGGTCATAATTTTGCATGCTTACTGTCTAGTATGACCACATCGTTAGCCGTATGTCAACAACTTTAATGAAAACCAATCCCAAAACCTACTGTGGCCTTGCAAAGTGATAAGAACAAGCTCATAAATTCTCCATAGATATTTTGGTCAGAAGATGCTTTGCTGAAAGCATGCATCATAAATTGTTGTGTATTTATAGAGTATACGCCATGTTCTACAGCTGGCACAGGGGTTATCATTGACTCTTGTCCTCTTGCTGCCAATCATCTGGGGCTGTGGCAAACAACTTGCTTCTTTGTATTACAAGTGAAGCATGAAGACAGACATCACAAGACAAGAATGGAGGGCTTTTGACTTACAAAGGGTTTTTTCTTTTCTATTTTGCTTTTTCTCTCCCCTCTAGCTCTTAATGTGTTGAAGACGTGGTTGGGGCTGTGCATATTTTCACTTCCTCTTTAAGGAAATCTTTCCATACTGAAGCCAAATAAACAACAGACTGTTTCAATGGTGTCACCTTAAGCTCGACATTCTTGAGATGTTTGCTCTCTTTTCATGCAAATGCAACCAATTTTTGTAGCAGACTTTCATTTTATGGGTGACCAAAGATGAAAAAGGTGATGCTAATAATAAATTACTAAATAATTATATATTAAAATGTATTAAAAACAGAATATATTTATATAAATTATATGTATATAAAAATCATAACAGAAATGTCATTTATTTCAGTGATGGCAAAGTGAAATGTTCAGCTTCAGTGAAAATTAGCTTCCAGTCTTCAGTGCGCTTGATTCTTCAAAAATTATTTTAATACGCTGATGGTGCTGCTTAAAGGGGTCCTATTATGCTTTTTCACTTTTTCGAAGGCGGGCTTTCATTTGATACAGGAACTATTTGAGCCGTTCATGCCAGACTGAGTAGAGAGGTGTTGTAATAATGTAAAATATGTGAAAAATAATGTGTTTTTCGAACAACCTAGTATGAGAGCCTGTAGTACACCCCCAAAACAAAATCAAGACTTTGTAAAAAAGCATAATAGGACCCCTTTAATATATATATATTTTTTTTTTTGTGAAAACTGTGATAAATTAATAATAAATTTATCAGTTTCTGATCAAAAATTTACTTTTGAACTGTAGTCTATATGAAATTATTTTTGATATAATTGCATATACTTTTTATTTACTATGTCAACCTGTTAACATGTATTTATACATTTTGCCTGATTTGTTGATAAAAACAAGGCAGGATAAGTGAAATAAAAAAGGTGAAAGTATATGATATAACCTTAAATACTAAATGGATATACTGTAAAAAAAAAACTAAACCTACACAGTGCATAAGAATTAAATGTTTGAATGCTCAAAAATCTTTGGCTCAACTGTCGTCTTCCATCATTGCCTTGCTGATATCACCTCTTCCAGACTGGCAGCTTCCCTACGGCCCACCCTGCTTCTGGCGCCATGCTTATGGGCACAAGGCCTCAGTCGCCCTGGGCGGCCACTTTGGCTCCGTAGCCCACCTCCTGAAAACACTTGCACAGAGCAAGGCACCTCCAGCAGGCCTCCCTGGCGTTGACTGGCTGCCCAGAAGTTTAGACAGAGGGCATCAGTGTGAGGAGCCTGGCTTTCTTCCCCCCAGCCACTCAAACACTTTCCTGGGCACGTCACATGAAAGGACCCCCTGTGTCATAAAAGTGTTAGCCGCATCGCTAACAAGAGCATGCTTACTGTCTAATTTTCACACTGCTGAATACACAGCATACACTTACAGGCACGTTTGAGAGAGATGAATCTGTGTAATAATTATATTAAAATAAAATGATGTTTAGTCAGTTTTGGGAACTAGCTGATTCATCTGCTGTATGATGACAAGAGAGTCCGCAATACCAGGTTTAGGGCGGCATATGGTGGATGTCTGATATTGGTGATGAAATAAAGGTGATGAAACATTTGCTTACTTGGCAGAATACATTTTTAGGAGTTCAGGAAAATTATATGGAGTCTTTAAGGCCACATTAATGTGCAGCATTCAAAAAATATTTTATAAAATAATAATATGTACTTTTCAAAAGAGGCCAATAATGTTATTCAGTCAGGATGCAATAAGAAGTAACAGAAATACATTTATAATGTTACAAAAGTACATTTTAAATGAATGTTGTTCTTTTGAACTTTCAATTCGTTAAAGAATTCTAAAAAAAATATCACGGTCTTCACAAAAATATTAAGTAGC